ATTCTGCAATCAATCTGGCAAAAATTTGTTTGAATTTTAATTGTTTCTTGATGATTTTAGGTATTTTAATTATTTGTAAAATATTTCAAAAGGTTTTAAAATAATTTAAAAAAATTTAAAAATTAAAAAATAAGAATTAAAAATATTATAAAAAGAAATAAAAGTAAAATATTAAAAATAAAAAAAAAATAAAAATAAAAAAAAAAAAAAAGAAAAGATAATAATACATATATAAGATATAAAAAAAAAGAAAGATTTTCTATAAAGATATATGAATATTTGCAAATTAATATGAAATATTTACTTTGATCACAAGTGTTAATTTTGTTATAATAATATTTAGATTAATTGTAAAAATAGATACAAAAGGCTCTAAAAGGTTTACCTCAAGGATAAAATAATTTTAAGGTTAAGATGATAATCTGAACATCTGAGTATAACCTAGTGAGTTAATACAGATTACAGATTCAGAAGGTTTAAAGTAGAACATTCAAGCAGAGATGTTAGATATAACAATTAGTAAGGAATCTTTGAACAAACTTTTTAAATAAGTAATATAAAAAAGTTATACATTAACTAATTGTATTCTTTTCTGTAGTGATTCATAGAACTACATTACCAAAAAAATCATTAATAAAAGTTAAAAGACCAAAGAAATTACCTTAACATCAAAAATAAAATAAAATAAATAAAAATTATATATAAAATTCAAATATATTAATCATTAACTTATAATTAAAAATTTTATATACAAATTTTTTTTTTTTTTTTTTTAAGATGAGGTTTTGCCTTTATCTTTATTATAATTTGTATTAAGAATCCACAAAGGGTTTCTTTGACCAAAGGTCAAGTTTACAAATTGTTTACAAGAATGAGATTCAGACTATAGATATACTAAGACTACCTAGTTTAATCTAATTTATTTGCAACTTAAACCTACTAGAGTGGTTAAATCTCATTTAGGTTTTATTAGTTAAAGTATTGCTAATTTGATAGTTAATTATATTGTTAGTTGGGATGCTATATTTAATTTATTTAGATATTTAAATGCATGTTTTCTTTTTTACCATTTCTATAGATAGGCAAATATTGTATTTATCTTCTATGTGTTGTTGGTCTGCCAAACCACAAATGTAGTTATAAGTATATAGTAATCTAGGGTAGTGTATGTTTTCTATATTGTTTGGATTATTATATATATTTGTTTGTATGCATGCAGGTTGAGTTAGTATATTGTGTTGGTGTTTCCAATTGGCTAGTTTTGTACAGTATAGTTTCTATATTTGGTTGTATATCTTATCTGATAGTTTTATTAAAAATTTAATAGTGATATTAGTTGCAATTTGGTTGGAATCTGTGTATTTACAGATTGTTTAAATAAGTAACTAAGGAATGTATTCTTGTAAAGTTGTGTAGATATTTGTACTATTTGGGATATAGTTATTAGAAATTAAACATTAATGACTAAACAGTTTGTTATGTAATTCTTGTAGTTCAGTGTTTGTGATTTTTAATCTGCTAGAATTAAAGAATTGTTGTATAGTGTTGTTGATTGTACAGCTTAGATTTGATGTATTAGAGCAATTTAACTAATGCTATAATTCTTTATATGCATTACAAGAGATGCAGTTATTGCTAATAAATGTTGTTGGATATAATAAGTGTAGATATAATAATGTTGGTAGTATATTTAGTATTGTTTTAATTTTAAAAGCTTTGTCATGACAAAGTTTAAAGTTTGTATATAGAGATGATTTTTTGTTGTTATTGTTAAGGTAAGACTATGTTGCATTCTAGTTAATTTGTATAGCTATTAGTATAATGTTTTCTATACAGTATTGTGATGACCATATTGCGATGTTTTGGGCATTACAAATGTTTTTGATAGATCTTTTTGTTGGTTGTTTAAATGCAAGATTGTTGTATTGTAGATAGTATAACAGATTATATATATTGTTATGTATAATTCTAATATGTATAGATGATTTTAGTTTTTTGCTAATTTATCTGCTATATTGTTAAAGATGTTGTTGCTATATACAACTATTTTTTAAAAGTTAATTTTAATTTGGTAAGTTGTAATTAGATTTAGAAGAGTGTGCCATATTGGCCAATAGTTATATAAATATCATTTGTTTGGTATTGGTAGTAATTTCAAGAGTTTGTTATATTTAGATATTATAAATTAAGAGTCTGTGAATATTGTAACCTGACTAGATCTATGACAGGTACTAATTGCTGATAAAATAGTCATAAGTTCAGCTTTATATAAGGAAGGCCAAAGCTTAATTTTTGCTAAATAGTTTTGTATAATTGTATTATTTTGGACTTGGACTCAACCGATTTTTATTTTATATTGTTCAGATATAATATGTATTACTGATCCATCAATATAGAAGATTAGTTATAAATAATTAATATTATGTTATGCAATTTGTTACAATGTTTTTGTAGAATAGTTATCATTAAATAGTTTAAGTATCAGGTTGTTGTAAATTGTAATTGTAAGAGATGTTGGTATTATAATAAGGTGTTTTAGTACAATTGAATAGAATAAGTTCAGTAGATTAGAATGTAGATTAAGTTTTTTTGATGAGTTTGTATAGATAATTCTTTTCATGAATTTTGTTACAAGTCTAATTGTAATATCAAATATATATTTGCTTTGTATACATTTAGAGTTCAAAGAATATCCTATATATTGTTTGTAAATATAATCTGAATAAGAATATAATGCTGTTTGTGAAGTGTCAAACTAAATTGTTTAGTATGTAATAGAGATAAAGTTATCTAACTGATTATATCTTCTGGCTTTTTTGATAATTATATCAGTTTGGTTATATGTTATTAATCAGAGTTTTAGTTTTATTTTATAATATCTAGTAATAAAAGATAGTGAGTTTGTATTTGATAACTGTACATATTAAAGATTAATTTTTCTTGTTTGTTGAGAAACAAGTAATTTGTTTTCTAAAGTTAAGAATCATAATAGTTTATGACCTTTAGGAATTTGCTATATTTATAGAGAAATATGTTACCAGTCTAATAATACTAAGTTATTATTTGAAGTTAATTGTTTTAGATATATAATTTGTTTTATATACAATTATTTTTTAAATTGAGGATATAGTTTATATAAATATAATAGTTTTTCAATAAGTATATATGGATATGAAAATATAAAAGGTTTGAAGTTACTAGAATGCATTTAAATACTTAATTAGAGATCATTGAGTAGTTGTATAATTTTAAAGATAATGGTATGTTTATTTAATCCATCTATTATTGGGTTGTTATAATATAAAATGTTTGTTGTTAATCATAAATTGTTTTGTAGTTGTTGAAGTCTAATGTGAGTACTTGTACCCATAAGGTTAAAATCATTAATATGAAGTAAGAAATTTGAAATATGATGTTGAATTTGTATATCTCAAATATTTTTGATACCATATATGTTATGATTTAATAATATACTATGTAATATAGTTGTAGGTAATTTGGATTTATGTTTAACAGTAGTAATGTATTGTGATAGAATAAAGTTACATGTTGTGTATGATAAAATTATATTATATATATGATATTCTAGAGTAAGAATAATGACAATGTTAATAATATATGCTGCTTTTATATACAAATTTAAATAACAAATCATATAACTATTATCTTCTTTGTCAACTATTACAATACCTATTGTGAAGAATTTTTATAAGTATCATGTGCAAAATCCTTTTTTAGTATTAAATTTGAACATCAAAATCCTACGTATTACCAACATTGAAACCCAATTTTTAGAATACCGTTGATGAATATGAATTATTTGATAACCAACTTGCTGTATACTTTTAATTTAGCTTAGAAAATAGTAAGGCAAGGCTTAGTAAAATTTAGGCAAAAATAGATCAAAAACAGTTTAACGTTCAAATTAGGAAAAATGTCTTATACCTATCATTAAATTTTCTTTACAAAAAAAAATTGTTCTAACTATACTAGTTATTTTTGCGAAAATCGTCTATTTTACTTGCTGGTTTAAGATGTCCCGCACTGTAAAAACCAGATAAATTTGCAATACTTACGTATCGTTAGACAATCTAGTAAACTTGTTTAACCAAAAAAAAACGATTATAACAATTATGACAAAAATTATTTATTTTATGTATTACTAACCATGAAGTCTTGAAATAACAGATAAAAAAAGTGACATGACTATACAGTTTTTTTTTTGAAAAAAGCTTTTATCAGAAATATCACGATAACGATAAATGCGGATAGGAAATTTCCGTATTTGATCATGTGGTTGTCGTAGGATATCGATGTATATAAACGAGAACTCTAAATAAAATTGGTATTTACCCTTCTATTCAACGTTTTTTTATCGATCAATATGACACTCTATTACACTCTCGTGTTCATTTTACTAATCACTGAGGTATCAAATATGCATATGCTTTAAAAAAAAATTTAAATATAATATTTCTTCAAATGTTGGTAATAACTCTACAATTGCTTCAACTCTAGTCGATAACGTTTCTATTTCTGATCGTGGGTATTTCAAAAACTTTTTTTTTGTGTCAAATATAATTATACTTAGTCTAAAAATGGTATTATTGCATCTTTTAAGTTACCTTTCCCTTATTCCTGGCGACGGGCTATGTTGCGTTGGGTATCTCAGTCGCAACTGGTCAGTTACATTATAATTATCGGCATTTGTGTCAAAATAAATAAATACTATTTTAATGAAATTTTGATATTAAAAAGGCAGCACAATCGCAATATATCCTGAAATTCGCATTTATGTAAGTCTATTTTTACATACGTATATATAATTTTTATTAAAAAATTTTTTCCTGAATTTAACGAGAAGTCTATCTTCGATAGTTTTGTTTTCATCCTTTTCTTAGGTATTTTTATTTGTAATTGCATATGTCAATTCCTTTTATTTTCAATAAATTTTTCGTCCATTTATTAATATTTATCAGATGCTGCAAATCGTACATATAATGTACAAAGTGAGAATAGGGATGAACACATTATCGACGCAAGAAGCGAAGCAACTATTCATGCGAAAAAGTTTTACAACCAACGTAACATGTACGTTAGCTATGTCCATTTATTTATTATCGTTTATTTGTTTAAACTTTTCGACTTGTCTATAATCTTACTATGTTCTCGGATCTTTTAGGTACCTTACCGGATTCACATTGTTTTTATCTTTGTAAGCTTCTTTTTTGTAATAAAGCTTGATTTATTCGATATTTTGCCTAATATCCTATTTTATCAGAATATTAAATAGAACATATGTACTTATCGTGGATCTTCTAAAGAGCGAAGATCAACTCGAAGCCATCAGAAAACAGGTCAGGTTTCTAATTAATCGCAAGTAGCATTTCTTTTACCTCGTTTATGGCATTTATGGTTTTTTTTTCCTTTGATAGGCTGACAATCAGGCAAAGGAGTATACAAGAGTTAGTGAATCTGAGAAGGCTTTACAGAAAAAGGTGGAAACTTTAATGAGTGAATTGAATGAGGAAAAGAAGAAATCGAGAGATTTTGATACTTTGAAAAAACAAGCTAATCAACAGAATGATGAATATTTGAAATTGACTGACAAGTATAGTGAGTTAGAGAGAAAGCATGAAAATCGGCCAGAAGAAGATAAGAAAAAGTCGTAAAGGCGTTCTACGGACTGTTTCAATTAGTATATTATGTTTGTAATTATTCTGCTCAATAAAAGGGATCTTAAATTGAATAAATTGAATGGATTATTTGACTAAATATATTTCATTAAATCAGTATTGTTCAATTTACAAGCCATGAAATGTTATACGAACGCCTACATCGCAATGCCTCGTAAATAAACGTGCCTCAGTCGAAAATATAGTTTAAAATAACTTGTATAAGATAATTGGCTAATATTTTTTTTAATATTAAACTAACAAACGCTTATGATGATCCCAATCTTCGTCCTCTACCCCATTTATGTGTTGATCCTTCGCCAGCAGTATTCTGATTTCTTGCCGAAAAGGCTGTTCCAAATGACGTTCTCGCTCCACTAGATAAAGGTGGAAAGTATCTGTACAACCATCGTGGTGTATTTAATAACCTCGGTCCTCCAGCTGCGGGGTAAAGATCCTATAGATGGGAAGTCAATAGAAGAGATAAATCATTTTTTAGTGATTGCTTTTAATTTTTAAATTAAAATATCTCAACAATTATCAACCAAATTTGATAAAAAATTTTATTTTAATCAGAATTATAAAAAAATTAAAAAAAATTTTATTAAATTTGGTTAAATAATTGTTGGGATGTCTAAAGTTGAGAAAGATTTATTCCACTCACCATCAAATAATAATATATATGTCCGGAAAGTATTCCGATAGCTGTTGGCCATATATTTTGCATTTGAATGAGTTCAAATGCAAGAAGAACCCAAGGAAAGTAAGCACCCTTTAAAGAAAGTAATAACTTAATTTAAAACATTTCTTTGAAAAATGGTGTTAAATGAATAAATATACATACAAGTGAAAGTAAAAGAAACGTGTAAATTGATTGATGGATTTTTACTCTATCGGATACAGAATCTTATTCCACATGATTATTATGGTCATTATTGTTCTCAAAGTATTAGCGGCTAGCTGTGTACTTATTTGATTTTATGGAGGCTTGAGTCCGATAAAGCGAAAAGTCATTAATCGATTTACAGATTTTCTTTTACCATCACTCCTGTTTTAACACAATTTTTTTTACCTTAAATCTTATCCCAAACAAAAAAGTTACTATCGTATCACGAAATTCTTGTGACCATAAATATATGATAGCCATAATCAAACATTCACTAAGATGATAAGTGATATACTCTATATACCAGCCAAGTATCTAAAAACAAAAAAAATAAAAGTTAAAGATAATAACAATTCGAAAAATGTGTGAATAAAATTGAAGTAACTTCATATTAATAGTAATATGTTCTAAAAAGCTTGAATACAGAATTTTAATCAAAATTCAATATCATCCCATAGTGAGAACCAAAAGCTTGTAAAAAATAAATAAACTTTCGGGCAGAACAAGGATTTGTTGATAGAAGTTAATTATATAAACGTTAAATTATAGTTAATAGATAAGGATACAAGTATCAATCCTGCTTCCACTAAAAGGAAATAAATGTAGTCTGCTTTACGTCCTGCAAATCTCGAAGTCTCTAACTCTAATGAATGCCTGTACAGAAAATATGCCTGAAATACATAGCTTAAACCTTTTAAATCGAAACCAAAAGGAACATAGAAGAAAGCCGTATAAAATCTCCATATCTAATAACATTTGAATGAATTGAATGAGGACACGAAAAAAGTATCTTTTCAAAAAAAGATTTGATCCTTACCTGAAATTTAGTGAAAATGAGGAAAGGAGAATACCAAAAAATACCATATAGGCGAGGGCCAAAGATTATTACAACGAAGTATCCTGCTAATGTTATTACGACGAAATTCGTGAATAAGAATTTTGTAATTGTTGGGATGCCTTTATACCACGTAGCAATTTCGTCCATTGTATGATTTTTGTGAAAGGTAGAGTTGATATTTGAGAGGTCCGTTAAAGCCAGGTACATTCATATAATGATCTACATACTGCATTCATAGGCAGAAGTTCGTCTGATTGGCTAATAAATTCCATTTATTTTACATTATTTATACAGTTTAGAGTACTTTTTTAAAAAACGCATAATGAAATAAAAGAGAAGGTTTCATTAGAGCTGTCGGACTCCATAGGCAAAAATAAGATCTAATTCTAGTCCGTTTAAAAAAGTTAGTGTAGTAATAACTTCTCAAACCCCGATAAAATCAACTTATTACTAAGCTAATTTTTTTAAACGGACGAGAATTAGATCTTATTTTTGACTATGGAGTCCTACAGCTCTTATATACAGCTTTTTCTTTTTCTTTATTTCATTATGATTAGTTTTCGTTTTTTTAAAAAGTACTCTAAGCTGTATAATAATGTAAAATTAAATTGAATTTATTAGACAATCAGACGAACTTCTGCCTATGAATGCTATATTACCCGCTAACCCTAACTGGTACCTGGCTTTAACGTTCCCCCAATTAATTTGTCCGTTCTCCTATTGGGCGATGATGTTTCTGTCACACAATAGGTGAATCCGTATCCTAAAATTCCTTTTTGATACACCGAAAATTTTATTACTTTTTGGGTTACATCAATGTCTTGACGCATAAAATTTAAATTTGTTCAAGACTTTGAGCAGAGATATCTCGACGATCACCTAATTAAATCCCATGAGATTTTTTTTATTTTGATTGTACAGGTTTGTATAACAAAATAAAAAAATATATATATAATTTTGTTGGGTGGTTTCCAAGATATTTTCGCTCAAAGTTTTGAAAAAAAATCTAAAATTTTGTAAAACAGCAGCAACTACTTAATTAAATTCAATGAATTTTTTTTTATTTTGACTACAAATCTGTAGAATCAAATTCATCGAGTTTAGTTGGGTTGTTGTTAAGATATTTTGCTCAAAGTTTTGGAAACATAAAGTGCTTATCAAAATAATAGCTGCGACAAAAACTTTGAAGATATCTCGGCAACCACCTAACTAAATTCCGATTTTTTTTTTTTTTAATTCATCGAATTTTGTTGGTTGCCGAGATATTTTCGCTCAAAAATTAATTCAAATTTGGGTGCATTGTAGATCTATCAAAAACGAAACTTTTGCCTATAGTATTGATATAGTAACACCTGACACAAAAATGGTAAATTTTGCCGTTGCATTTTTTAGTGTTAATCTTTCGCTTTATCATATTCACGATAATGCGCATGGTGAGATATTGTCCAACATATGAAAAAACCCGTGAAAAAAAACAGATAGTGATTTCTACTTGTTTTAGATTAATCAAGACGAAGAAGTTGAAGCTGAAGTCACTTGGGAGGATCAACAAAATATAAATTCGTTCAGTAAATTGAACGTTAAGTTCTCAGACATTGAAGAAAGATATGAGAAAAAACGGGTAGTTAACATGAATCATCCAACTTTACAATTGTTTTAGTTTTTCATAGGCTGATTTTAAGTTTTAAAATCAAAGGAAGAACATGAATACCTTAATGATCTGTTAGTAGACCTAGAACAACAAGAACTACTAGATGAATGTGAACTTGTCAGGTTAATCATTTTCTTGTATAAATTTATTTATAATATCAATTAAATGACATTATAATTTTTATATCTTATAAAGATACAAGATAGGTGATGCATTTATTTCAATTACTTTAGAAGACGCTGTACAACGCACCAAGGAGGAAAAAGAACTCTTATCGGAAGAGTTACAAAAACTCAAGAATGAAATGGACTCTTTAACTACTGAAATGGATAAGTTGAAAGAGTCATTGTATGGAAAATTTGGCAAGGCTATTAATTTAGAGAAAGATTGATTACACTATTCATAATTTATTCATAATCCCTGACGCTAATCATTACCATATTCTATAATAAAATTGGAATATTGCAAAACTTTATTATCGTATAACGAGTTGATAATTCTATTAGTAAAAAAAGACTAATATTTATACAATGAGCACGAGACTTGATGTATGTAAATTCGTAAATTCACATAATTAATCGCGTTCAGCCAAAGGATTTGCATGAATTGTAATGGATTTGATTCGTATGTCTTGAATAGGTCGATTTTTTTCATCAACAGGAACTTTCTCGATAGCATCCAATGTTGTGTCTGAACCATCGATGACTCTAGAAGTTTGTACATTATAGTTAAATAATTAATTAAATGCAAGAAAATTTTGAAAATAATCTATAAATATCAGAGATTGTACACGTTGAGAAGGTTTCTACCCGGATATCCAGGTTATGGTAGAGATTGTACTCATCAAGAAAATTCCCACATATATTATTAAACTATCCAGGCAATTTATTATAGCCATGTAATAGAAATTTTACTAGACACAATCTTTACTACCCAAGTACAATCACTAATATACATTTATGATACATACTTTCCAAATACCGTGTATTTTGTATCGAGATGAGGCAATTTGGAGTATGTAATAAAAAACTGTGACCCGTTAGTATCCGGACCACTGTTGGCCATGGAAACAATTCCTCGCGCGTTATGCTGAGAACAAAATCATTATTTCTAGTAACTTTTAAGAATTCGGCACACGTAAATATAAACAAAATACGAATGAAAATAACCACCTTTAATGATGATTTAATTTCATCCGCAAATTTTCTTCCCCAAATTGAATTTCCACCTTTACCCGTCCCCGTTGGGTCACCGGTCTTATGTTTATTAGGAAAGTCAATATAATCATAACGATATTTCAAATTATGCCAATGATATTACCTGAATCATGAATCCTTTTATGTTTCTAACATAAATGTAAAATTTAAATCATATTAATACCATTCTATAAATTCTACACCGTCACCTTTCATATACCTATGAAACAAGTTATTATCATAATATCCACTTGCGCAGAGTGCTAAAAAATTCTATTGAAAATTTTTTTTTATTAACAAGAATGAGAACAAGAAATATACAATATTGTCTAGGTATTAATTAAATAACAAACCTCCGCCGTTTTAGGAACTGCTTCACAAAAAACTTCAATCTTGAGATCACCCAAATCTGTATGCAGAGTAACAGACTACATGTTTAATTAAGATAATTGTTTATAAAGTTTGATTAAAAGCAAGAATATTTTTAGACCTCACCATTTCCCTCGCGAACTAATTTTTTTTCAGATTACAAGAGGACACATTTTATATCTTTTTATGGTATCACAAGGCAACAGCCAATTGTACTACATAGGAATAAATTGGAATTATTTACCAAACGTATATGAATTCTGGGTACAGTGTACTACTCAGCACTTATTTCTCACCCATTTTATGTGCTCAAGTCTTTCAGTGTTCCTTAAGTAGATTTCTGTCTTTTTTTTCTTTAAAAAAAATATATATACAGTATATATATTTATTGCAATAAACCTTAGGGCTCAAATTGAGCCTTCGAAAAAAAAGTAAATGGCAAAACCAGATTTGAGTGATTTATTTTATTACATCAAGCCACAAGGTGAAGTAAATGTGGATATAAAAAAAAAAAAAAAAAAAAAAATCCTTTAAAGCGTTCTAATGTTACATACCTTTATAGAACAAACCAATCATACTTCGCTTTCACAAGGAACAGCCAGTGACTTAAGCGAAAACATAGGTCCAAATTTAAACGACTTTGACCTAACAGCCATTTATGATCGATTTGTTCGACCATATAAAGAGAAAGGGGTTGAACGAGACCCCACATATTTTCCTTATATTAATAACCTTCCAGGTGATTTTTTAGAGTAGGAAAAAAAAATTCCCTTTTCATGATTAGATAGGTACAAAAGGTCTAAGCTTTTTTTTTTCTTTTTCATGGGGGTTTATATGGGACAGGAAAAGTAAAAATAATTCCAGATAGAAGTTTCAGAAAATTCTTTGAAAATAAAAATAAAAGAAAATGGGGCAAAAAATATCCACCAGAAGACTATCCACTAGATGCTAAAACGATCGAAAATAATATGTTGAACTTACTTAAGCCAGGACAGATTCCAGGAGTAAGTATTTTATGTTATTATTTTCCTAGGCGGGGAATTTGACTATAGACAATTATTCAAATAAATTTGATGGATGTGTATGATAGTTTAATCCGGCTGAATTTGGCTTAGACGATGAGAAAAAATCATATTCAACGTCAACACATAATAATAATAATAATAATACTCGTTCAACAAAAAGTAGCACCAGTAGTAATTTAGAATTGGGTATGCATATTTAAAATGTCCGTTGATCGCATAACAACCATTTTGTGAAAAAAATAACATTAAATTTGTCACGACAATGCTGTAATAGCTTCCAGTACAGCAACTTTGGACGGAGATGATCGGACGCATGAGAAGAAAAAAGTATGTTAATTTGATTATTTCGTTACACATTATTAGTATATCTTGAAGCTAAAAATATCATGACACATAGAAAAAGAAGCATAAACATGAAAATAATTATGATGTGGATAGAAAAAGAAAACATAAACACGATAAAGATCATAGAAAGGGCTCTGTTGATGAAGAATACAAAAAGAAAAAGCGAAAAGAAAAAAAAGTTGGTATTGACAATGCGGCTTTTATGAATCATCATTCCTTGAGCACGACCGCATAATTAATCAAAATGACATAATCAAATAGGGGAAAGAAAGGTATAATTAAGATAAACGCTTTTCTAGGTTGGTTTATTTCGTGAGACTTTACATTGATTTCTTAATCTTATTAATGACAGGTAATAATAGAATCAGTAATGTTTTATCCATTTATTTTTGTTATCATTTTCAGAAAATATACTTTTCTCTTTTCTGTACATATATAAATTTTTTTTAATTTTAATAATATTCAGATAAAAAAAAAAAAAAAGGGAAAAATTTTTCAAAAATTATATACTATCGAAAAAATTATATTTATATTTATATACGTTTATTATACATCTGTTATTGATCTGTATATATTGATTATCTGTTATTGTATTGCGCAATGATTATTCTTGCCATCTAAAAATTCAACGAATTGCAAATTTTGTGCAACGTAGTAATCATGTTCTATCGCCAACTCTTCTTCAACAACGCCCGGGTGTATACGTTGCAATTCATAAAAAAGCAAATAACCGTGCCGACTGAATTCGCTAAAAAGCAAAGTCATATCCTGCAATGTGCTAAACTCCCTTACTTGTTCGCCTATATTAAATATTTATTAGACATCGATAGTAAATATCATACAATTTATAACAATCATATCATATCCATTTTAACCATGCTCACCATCTAAATCATCAAGCCTATACCATCGATCTTGTTCCTATGCAAATAAATAAATAAATAAATAATAAAAAAAGTTGGATAAAAAAACAAATCTTTCCTTGCTACCTAACATCCCCTATTGGATTATACTTACATCGTCTAATGTATAACCTTTATAATGTCCATGTGTGGGTGATTCGCCATAATGGCAAACAGCTGATCGTAGTTTTAAACGATATTGAATGTCAACGCCACAATGACATTGCTCGTCGGCTGCATCTGAACTTACAAAAGAATTAAAATTGACTGATGGCGGAATATATATTTTCTTCTTTATTCTAAATGGCTGTGATTGATCATTGTAACCATATCGTTTCAATACCAATGGTAGAATCAGGTGGTTGGTTGGAAAATGTGACTCAACCGCATTTATTTTTTCACCTATGTAAACAAATCGATCGATCAAATTTATGCTTAATCTAACAATTTTTAGTTAAAAGTTGTCATTACCTTGTTCATTACTTGCTGAGTAAAACGGTAAAAGTTTTAGCACTTGCCATGCTGAAACTGGCATTTCAGTTTGTTCAATACCATCTGATGAAAACCGTTTTATTCCAGACACAACATTATCATGAAAATGTGTTATTAAAACTTCTTCCAAAGAAACTGGCGTTTCATCATGTGGATCTCCTGGTATGGCTACTTGAATCAAACGTTCGGTTATAACTCGCTCATCATTTGGATCTTTACTTCCTCCATGAAATAAATGAATTCCAAGTGGAAGATATGGAAGTTCATAAAGGCATGATAGAAATAAAAACAATTCACTGGCATCCTCTTGCGTTGGATTTCCATATTCATCTTTACCAATCCAGCCACAATCAAACAAACATTCGCGTAATTGCTATCAATTTTAAAAACGTCATCATTTTTAACTTTTCATTATTTACTAATTGTTTGCTAATTTTCCCTCTCACCTTAACCATATAAGCATTTATATGTTTGCCTTTTCGAAACCGATTCACAAATAATCGTAAATTCGACTGCAAAGTTCTTACATTCAATCCTTCTGGTTGAATAAAAAGTAAGCCGTCAAAAGATCGTGTTTTTGCGAACATTGCAAACATTAAACTATCTGTAAATGATCATATTAATGTATTTGGTAATTTACATTAGTCAACTAACTGATTTAGCGATTCACTCTTTACCTATATAACAGCTAGTAAAACGATCATTTTCTGCTCCAAGCATAATTACGTCTTTTCGAATATCTGATACTATCCCATCTTCTGCTTCTATTAAATCTTCACAATAATCCGCTACTTCCATAACATTCCACGCATTTCCCTCCAACAATCTTTCTAAGTGTAATGTTTCCAAAGGATGTCCCAACTCCTCTAAATAAGTACGCAGTTGATCTATCTTACTTTCTTGTTCTGTGATCGTTAATTCGACAAGTTGGGTTGAATCCTTTCCAGAATTAGGAAATAAGTAATCCTTAATTCTACTTACTGGTGAACGTGTGCGCTTTAAAGGAGACACCCTCCCTTGAACATTAGGTTCCGAAACCTCCATGATATGAAAAGCAAACTTTGTAATGGAAGTGTTCAAATGATAGATATATATATACCTGTATATATCTGTCCTAATCTGATTTATTACGTACTAGTTTTCTTGTTTAGGCTTAATTCATGTTTCTTTAAATTAAAAACAGGTCATGTTACACTCGTGTAAACAAAAATTTTTCATTAAAATGAGCTGTGTTCTATTTTCAATCTAAATGCGTTTCTTTAAATGTTACCGTATTTGTTATGTTCTATTTACAAGTTTACTATAAATACATTAATTTTTATTTTAATAGAATCTAATACATGTACTGTACATTCGTTTGAAGTCACTGAATGCTTGGCCGTTTATAGGATTTTTTTGATTCTAATTTGTGATTACTACGTATATTTAACTGGTTGCAATTATTTTTAAAAATGTTCTTTTTACATATTAGGCCGTACAAATTTAATCTTAGTTTTCTTAACCCAGCCGGAATTCTCTAGTTAAATTGGGGTTAGGGTTAGGGTGTATATAATTCCGTTTTCATTAGTCAATTGTTAGAAATGTAATTTAATGTATTTCTGCAAGCGACGACGATAATTAATATGATGCAATACAGCAATATATGAAAATAACTAGTGATTTGAACCGGTTAGGCTATAATCGGTTAACCGACCCGAATCGAATAAATTTCGGGTAACCGGTTGAGTAAATTCTTAATCGGTTGACCCGTACAACCGGTTGAGAATCGGTAATCGTCAAAAGGTCAAAAATTTGGGTAAAGCTCCGAGACTTTCCGTAGGTAAAGTGTGAAGTAGAGGCCTGCGTTGGGTCCCGCAGCCGGGCCTGAAGCAAAATTTTATAATTGCGGGCCGGGCCGGGCCGAAAAATTTGCAAAATTTTATAATTGCGGGCC